GAGAGCACAACAAAGGCCTACAAAAAGCAATTTCAAAGTGATTTGGCTAATTTCCTTTGTGCAAGATCTAAAGAAATGAAGAGGGGTGGTTCCATGTTCTTAGTTTGCTTAGGAAGGACCTCTATAGATCCAACAGACCAAGGTGGGGCTGGACTTCTTTTTGGGACTCATTTTCAAGATGCTTGGGATGATCTTGTCCAAGAGGTAACTAATTAATTGTCTCATTCTTCTTTATCCCACCATATAGGAGATTATAATAGGTAATTTGCATTGATTGTGTAAAAGTTGTTTATATTGTCGTTATATATGTTGCACTAAACCTTTTAACAGTTATTGTTATTCATGTATCGAGACCTCCAAATAGTTAATTATGTTTTAGAGGATTCGATATGAGTACGTTAACATGTTTAAAATTTGATCGAGCATATAACTTATACTTTCTTTATCTCAAGTTATATGACATACTTCCATTTTAGTCAGTCTCATAAAATGACATGTAGTTAACTGCTTATTTTATCCTTATGAGATTATTTGTAGTCACACGACTATAAACTATAGTATCAACAATCTTGTTTTCTTAAATTTCTTATTTAGTCAAACTGCATTATCTAAATGGGAACGAGGGAATAGTACATTTTGTTATTGCCTTCTTGTCTTTTCCTTTTAGTAGAAAAAGTTGGTAGTTTTGGGACAATTTTAGACTAGTCTTGAGAGTCACAATCAGCAACCATTTGATTCTTTAGCAACCACCTTAAGCAATAAAATTCAAGGGTCAACATCCATCTAGACCAAGTGCGTCTTGTTGACAAAACAAACAAAGTAGGATTGTGACTAAGCAAGCATAGGCATATAGTCACTTCAATGAATAGTAGTAAATCATGATTTTTGTTTCCTATCATTGTTTTTTAGGCCACCAATTGGACTAGTTTTAACTTCTTGTAATTCCATCATCTTTTAGCAATATCATAATGATAACCAGTCAAAATATATCACATAAATAACATTTCTTTCCGCTCAATTTATATAATATAGTTTGACTTGATATAGAAGTTAAGAAAGAACTATAAATCATTCCACTAAGGATAAAATAGACATTTTAAAGTCAAATTATTATTAAATATAAAAATGTATTGTTCTTTTTAAGACTGACCAAAAAGGAGAATGGGTTGTATAAACGGAGATAAAGGGAGTAGTAGTAACAAGCAATCTTTATTATACTCTCTTTGTTTCAATTTATATGGTTCACTTTTCTTTTTATCAGTCAAAAACGATTGATATATTTATATATTTAGTAATGATTTGGTTTTAAAATGCTCATTTTACCCCTTAGTGAAGTGACTTATTGTCATACAAATATCTATGACTTATTTTTTACCGCAAATTTAAAAATCTTTCTTTCTTAAATTTTATACCAGGCAAACTACAACACATAAATCGAGACGGATGAAATAATTATGTTACACAACCATATTGAATATGTTATTCATTTCTCAAGGTTTATTGAACATTTGTTTTGAATGACAGGGTCTAATTACAAGTGAAAAGAGGGACAACTTTAACATCCCAGTGTATGCACCAAGTATACAAGATTTCAAGGAAGTGGTTGAAGCCAATGGCTCATTCACTATCAACAACCTTCAAGTTTTCAGGGGAGGGAGTCCTCTAGTTGTCAACCACCCTGACGATGCAGCTGAAGTCGGACGAGCCTTAGCCATCAGCTGCAGAAGTGTTAGTGGCGTCCTTGTGGATGCCCACATTGGTGAACAACTCGGGGACGAGCTGTTCACTAGAGTTGAGCATCGAGCCTCACGCCATGCAAAAGAGCTCATTGAAAAACTTCAGTTTTTTCATATAGTTGCTTCCCTTTCTCTTGTGTAGTTTTGTGTTTGGGTAATATTTAGTTTAAGTACTTGAAATGAAGTTTGTGAAAGTTGAACTTGTGTTTAGGCTTGACAATTACTCCTCAACTCAATATTTCAATATCCAAATGTTGCTTAATTATTTATGACTTATTTTAGATCACATTTTTTCTTTCTTAAACTTCATATCTAATCAAACTACATTACATATATTGAAACAGAAGAAATATATTTATGAACAAAGGGTATAATCGTCTTTCCCTCTTCGACCTCAACCAAAAACAAAAGGTGAAGGAAAAAAGTTTCAATATCCCAAATGTTACTTAAATATTTACGACTTATTTCAAATCACAAATTTCAAACATATATATCATTATTTTTTCTTAAACTCCGTATCAAATCAAACTACATCACATAGCTGAACCAGAGTGAATATTTATGAGCAAAGGGTATAATGGTCTTTCCCTCTTGGACCTCAACCAAAAACAAAAGGTGAAGAAAAAAAGGGTGTGGGGTCAAAAGTGGAGAAGCAAAAAAGAGAAGTCAATTCTAATTTCTATATATGTTTGTTATTCGATCTTGTCTGATTTCCCTTTTTTTAGTATGACATTATTAGTACTGTAGTTTGGTTGTTAAATGATGATTTTGAATTTTTTATGTCCCCTTGGTCCAAGCATAGTAAATAAAGTTATATAGTTAAATCAACTTCATCTCAATTCCTTTATTGGTCGAATATATATAATTTTGTCGGAGTATAGATGTCTATGGATAATTGTGGGGTATATATATACTCTTTGTACCTAACCTTTTTTGTCATGTCTAATTTCTTCTTAGGCAAAACTTTCTTCATCTCTTTTTACATGAGTATCTCCATATGTTTACCCCTAAATTGGTAACCATTAAATTTGTTTCATGGTCCAACGGGTCCAAGGACACGCAAATTAAGATGACCAACAAAATAATGCTAGATTGGTAAATGGAAATAATAATGTATGACAAGTGAGACTATAATGAACAAAAATAAGCAAACAAATCAAAGTAGAAGATTCTTATTCAGGAATATAATGACCCCTATTTACATGATTCAATTGTTATTCATGTGGTTTAGAGTCCTTATGAGTGAATCTTTTCGAGAACGATTGTAGTTTGAACTTATCTTAATCGGTCAATATCTCATATAAGATTTTGCATTTCTAGAGTTAAACGGGCTCATACCATAATCCAATCTCTCAGTGAACAAGATTGGCCTTATTGATCTCCTTTCCTTCTTTGTATGATTTGTTAAGATATATGTCTCACGTGATTAAGTAGAGTTTGATAAATAAAAGAGCTATAATTAAAGAATATTGGTAAAAAAAATTATGAGATAATTTTTAAGGCAATTAAGTAACTTTCCACTTTGATGAAAAGTGGAGAATTAAGCTGTTCTTTATAACTGAGAGGTGTTGATGTACAAAAAAAAAGTGATTGAGAAACGTAACATGAGCCATCATGAATATTGATCAATGCACACATGTCATGTTCGCATGCTATACACCACACATAGTGGACATGTGTCATACATATTTTAGTGGGTACGTTTTTATACTAACGGGTCATGCATAACTAGTGTCATACTTCAAAGATGTTAAGAGGATATTTAAATGCCCATATAATTTAAGTACTAATGTAAGTTATCCGACCAAGTTGAGAGGTTTTTTTTTTATGTATTTTCTCTAACCTCTTTGACAAGTGTCAAACATGCATGGACGCCATGCCTCCTTTTGTACGTGTCGTGCTTGCATCACGCTGCAGAATTGTCTTGTTATTATAAATAATTCATTATGACTTCATTATATTACCCATCGAGAAAATAATATTATAGGTTTATACATCTATTTCTATGTGTAATTAGAGTATAAAGTAGTCTTAAAATGATTTTCCTCTCTTAACTACTAAAAAAATGTAATGGACTTAGGTATGTTTTCTTGATCAAAGTAATGTTATTAATTGTTTGTGAAAATCATTGAGTTTCATTATTCTAATATCATGTTGGGTTTTCAACTAGATTGTTTATGTTTTACATTCTATATGTGATTTGTTAATCATCAAATTAAGTGATCGAATCTTTATGAATAATTAATTTTAATGATGATTATATTTGTATTCAATTATCCATAATTCGTATTCCTGTAAATGAATTTATGGGTAAATTAAAGTTCGTGATTGTAAGACATTCTTGGATCGTTCAAAGATTCATAACGTATTTTTATAATTATTGAACATTGAGTCGATAATTTAGATGTGTCCATATTCAAAGAAGTAAATATTATTGATTGGCACATTGATGATTATCAAATTATGTTCTTTCTAAAATATAATTGTGTTTAATGTTGTATTTTGATGTTTCTCCCAAAAGAGGATACCATCATGCATTTAAGAGTACATAAACTATTTCTAAATCTGATGTATGTTTAAGTTTATAAAAGCATTAATGAATGAGTAGCCATTGTTCTTCATTCGCACTTTGCTTCTATTATGATTTTTAATAGATTCAACTTCTCATATTAATGTGAACGGATCAACTTTGGAGTTTTAAATCTTGACGTTGAAATATTTACTGAGAAGCCAACTGCTATTACTGAACTAGGAGTTATGAGGAAAATCCTATTATAAGTAGTGAAATCGGTCTAATAAATGAAGCCTATTGTTTATGTGAATAAATATTGTAGGTAACCTTAAGACTACTCTTCCCAAAACTGAAAGCTATAAAGAATTTTTTAAGCGTGCGAAAAAATGTTTTAAGTACTAATGGGTACCTTTTACCACCATGAAATATGATGGTTCATCTACCATGCATAAGCATATCATGAAATAACAAATATAACAGCATGACTCAAGATCTTAAGAATGGAAATAGATGTGTATTTTCTTGTGTAATTAATCATAAGCTGATTACGGTCTCTGAGTATGAGCATAGATACACTTCTACTTACACTTGTATAAAATATATTATGTACCTATTGTTTAAAAAAAAAATCTAATTTCCTTACTGGACCTAGATACACTTATAATTTTGGCCATGAATGTTTTAATTTGTTTGTTCCCGTGGCAAAAGCTAACCACATTTGCTAGAAGTGCTTAAACAATGTCGATGCAGAATTCAGACAAATGCAAATGATTCAAAGGAATTTCTAATATTACCACTATAACACAAACAGCTAATCGGTCTCTACGTGATTACTCATCGAAAAATTTATCCTGCTACATGATCCGGGCTACTAATCACAACAAAAGATACTGCACATATGTCTCTAATTCAGTAGTTACTATTGTGTGCTGGGAATATGTTCAGTTCCAGAAATGTGAGAGTCTGCATCATCTTTTGAAGTGGCTACATAGTTTACAGGAGCAACCGTTCTCGAGTGGTCTCTCTTCCCGTCTTTAGTTGTTGACCTGGAACCATTTTGATGTGAGTTAAGAGACAGCCTTCTGTTGCCTGACCCGTTTGCTCCTGGACCCACCACCTTCTTTGTACCAAGGGGTCGAGCAGCGCTTGGTGTTGATCCAAATGGTGTTTCTTGTTCTTTGATCTGCTCATGGAACTTCTTCTGGTCCTGCACACCAATAGAATGCTTGTAATAACGAGCCCCTTATATAGTAAGAAGTATGGATATGAACTTGAACACACGATTAATGAAAAGTATTACGCGTCAAAAGATTGACCACAAGCCTAAAAAACAATGCACTTACCCTCAACCTTCTTTTCTCTTCTTCTCTATCTTGCCTGAGCATCATATATTCATCTAGCATGGCAAGAAGTGGAACACCATCATATGTGAATGTGGTGTCACGATCTTGTTCCCATGCTCTTGTTTTGGCAATCAAGGAATCCACAAGAGCTACATAGCCAACATTGTCAATTAGCATTATAATACCGGGGTAAGGATCATGTCACTGGGCAATTAACAGGGAAATCTTCCGCCAGTAATGATCAACATTACAAATTAAGGGATTACATATTCAGACTCAGCAATTTGTATGAATAATTATGTAAACTTAAATTGTTGAACTTCCTCCGGAGAGCAAAGAATCTCAAAGCTCCTTGAGTGGAAGGGTAAATTTAGTAACCTAAGACACTAGATAGAGTATCAATGGAATCCTTGCAATAGTAATGGCAGTATGAATAACATCCTAGAAACATGTCAAGTAGCACTAAATAGGTACTTATTTAAAGTTATTTGATTCCTTTACTCGTCATATACCAAGAATCAGATGTGTTTATAATAATTTGGTTTATTCATTTTTCAGTTTTTATATTTTAACTAAACAAAGAAACCAAAAAATTAAATCTTATCCGAGACCAACCAAAACCAAAAACCAAACCTAATAAAAAAAAAGAAATTCAATTTGGTTTGGTTTTTCGGTATAGTCCAAATAATGCACACCCCTACATAGGGATATGTATCACCATCTGGCAATACCTGGAATTTTGCCGACCAATATCCGAGCCTTTTCAGCCCTCTTCAAATTTAAGTGTGCACCTCTGCTTGCATTATACCGGTTCTGATCCTGTTTCACCATAAATGATGACTTTTTAATATCATAATTATCGGGAGAGACACCTCCAACATGTTTTGATGAATGGGGAGCATGCAAACCACATTTTAACCAAATTCCAAAATCTTATCGGTATGAATCAGATTACTATAAAAACTTGCTCATTAGTACTTCTAAATTATAAAGATGGTACAGATGAAGCCAGAATTAGAAGCATCTGTTTCTAGGCAGATGATTGTTTATCTTCTACAACTGACTATCATATACCACATATGAGTGCATCAATAAGCCCATTTTCACTATTGCTCCAACAACAACTAAAATTTCTAATAAACTTGTGATTACTATATTCTTTTAGTAATCAACCACACTTTCATGCTGTAGATTTTGTAAAGCGGCTAAGCTAAACTTTCACTACACTTTCAATTTTCTTATCAAAGAATGCTTTACTGGTTTCTTTGATCTCTTTGGAAGATATATTTATGAAAAGCTCAAACCATGAATAGCCAGATTCTTTTTCGAGATAGATCCCCTGTGATTTCAATTACTCCCTCCATTTCTTTTATGTGACTTTGTTTGGGTGGGAAGACAAAAAGAGAAAAGGGGTGGTGTTTCCACTGAAAGTAGCATACTAACAATCAAGATTAATTTATCTCATATTTACATAAAAACAGACAGCATGAAGAAGACGAGATATATTTACCCTGTTGTAGTCTTCAAGCCAGCTCTCTTCTTCACAAGATGCCATCCATTTTTCAACTTTATCCAATATTTCTTTCCTGCTATCAGCCTCCTCTTTTGCTTTCACAATCTGGTTGTCCATGTCCGCAAGTAACTCTGCAGGCTCAGTATTCCCAGAATCAATTAGTGCCATAATTTTGTTTTGAGCAGCCTCGGAGTCAATCTCTATGTGGGCACAAGCGAAAATCTCTTCAAGCACTGCCTGCTTTTTGAAAGCAATCTCCTTCATCCTGCTAGCTTTTAGCTGATCAAGTCTTTCAACTTCCACTTCAGCCTGGACGATAACAAGCTAAAGTCAATTACCGACAAGCTACTATAAATGCTCAAAATAAATTTCAAAACACATATCATCTCCTATACCTGTTCAATCAGATCAAGAGCAAGAGCTCCAGGAATGGACACTTCATCAACTGAAGCAGATATGTTGCAGGTGACATGGTCAAACAAGCTCCGTTCTTCTTCGGTTGTATCCATCAAATTCCATAAATCAATCAGTTGAGTTGCAAGTTCTTGGAGCTGCAAGAGGGGGGAGGGGGGGTTAAAGTTAGAGAGTGTGTTTCAAAGAAATGGAGGACTGGCCAAAACACTTATCATCTAGACACAAGAGAACACTACTCACTACTTAGACACAACCGAAGGCCTTAGTTAAATTCCATCTTGATGTGATTTTCCAAATTATAGTGAAAAGACTACAGAGAAGCAAATTAGCAATTGCAAGCAATTCCAACATCAACAAATGCTATCATGGGCAGGTTAATGAACTATGAGAAGCTAATAATGATTAAACAATTCAGAGGAGAAAGTTTCCTTTCATGTACAGAGGATGGACAAGAGATTCCATATACAGCAAGGTACTTAAGGATCCACGTACAGTCGAACAAAATTTGACATAACTTCTAGGTATTTCAACATATGTCCATTATTGACTGTTCATATACTGTACATCCTAACTTGGTATGAAGTGTTAGGCTAAGTGAAAGGACCAACTTAAAACAACAAGGGCTTTTACCTTCTGCAATCTTTGCTTCTTATCTTCCTCTAGTGCTAAGACAGTTCTAGCCAGACTTGATAGTGTGTCATTGCTTATACTTTTCGATTGTACACCAGTAGAATCGTTCAGGCTTGGGTGAACTTCAGTGACAGTACTAAAGAAGTCAATGCCGAGAACAGCACATAGATCATGTATTGTGCTCACGAAATCAAGGACTTGGTGCAGTCTCTCACTCTGCGATGTTAAACAAGGATGTATGGTGAGTAGCTCATTGGAGGCTGAACTAGTTTAACAGTTGTAAAGGAATAAATCCGACTAAAATATGGCTAAACCTTTTCTTTTTGAAGATCTTGAAGCTGTGCATGAAACTCATCCAGCTTTTTAAGAGACAAATCAGACTCATCTACTTTAGGACTCTCTACTTGCTCACTAGTCCCTGCAATCTCGCTGCCAATCTTCTCGATTTGTGATTGTACATCCAAGAACTTTTTTACTCTTTCGTCTTTCTGTTTCCACAGTTTTTCCAGTGCTGGTGCTATAGCTGCAAGTTGTTCCTTGATTGATCCTGAATTCTTCTCAGGCTGCAAACAATCCCCAAGACAAAAAAAAATCGAATATTAGAAAAGGAAACAGTCTAATGACCTCCAGCTAAGAATTTTAAATAACTCCGCCTATCCATAGCCAATCTGAAATTCAATCACTCACAATTCCATCATATGTTTTCTCTCCAAGGGCTGATAGCAGCCTAGAGAATTCAACTTTGGCATCTGCCAAAGCCTGAAGAAGGTGAGCCCGCGATCTCACTGCTTGGTCAACTTTTCTATTGTAAACATCCAAGCACTCCTGGTCTATCTGAAGAAGCATCTTATCTCTATCTTCATCAGTTTCACCAACCTCATCCCAAATTTGCTGCATTTTCAGAAAAAAACTATTTAGCCATCACTCATTATACTATTACAACTATATTGCTCCAAATCTCCAAAAATGTCGCCGCACTACTGTCTACTGATCAGCATTTTGGAATAATCCTAGCAACATATATTAAGAATACCTCATTGCTCTTACAGATAATACATGATTTATTTGTTAAACAAGAAATTCAACATGAAGAATAATAGAAATTGCCTGCAACTGCTGTAGTAGAAAACTACAACTTGTTTCTCCATTTTGAGCATCCACTCCTCCCATCTTCAGTTACTCCGATCAAACCTGAAACATACATATATATATATATATACAAAACCAGGTCAAATTCAAAACACAAAGCCATATATCGTTTCAAATACAATGAAACTCGCACTACAACATAATAATAATCATTTTCCTGTGTGAATAATTGACGAAATTAAAAAGCAGAAAAAGTGCTACGACAATCGAATCTTCTCCTTATGCCACAAACGAAGTGATTGAACACAACAATTCATTAGTCAGCTTTGACATGTAGTCAAAAAATGCAGTGATGAAATTCCAACATGATCCGTTATATACAGAAATGTAGTTCAAAATAGTACCATACCGCCATAACTAGTCGAAAAAAAGCAGGAATGCTTACAGAGAAAGTAGGGTTTAGTTAGGAGAATGTGGTGGACAGATCTGCTTGACTATCACTACTACTATCAGAATTTGTGTAAAATCAGTGAGCAGAGTGAGTGACCCCTCTAGGACAGTGAAAAGGATATATTGGAAGACGGAAATATAGAGAGTCCAGTGTGGGGCCCTCACTGCCTCTTTCTATATGTAATGACTCAGAGATAATCTTTTGCCACTTCTTATGGATTTATTTACCAACATGACATTGACATTTGATTCGATCGCACTAGGCGAGTTCGGAGCCAAAAAGACAACCAATTGAGTTAACTTCTTTGAGAAATATAGTGCCCGGTGAGTAAATATGTTTAAGATTCTACTTTAGTAATAGAGGTAAAATTAATATATCAATCATTTTTTTTTAATAGGCATGTCAAGTTAAAATTTGACAAATAAAAAGAAAGAGTATATCGATATTAGTTATTTTAATTTGTTGTTGTTTTCATAATTTATGTATCTATTAGTTATGTGGTTTCTGAATTGCAAATCAAGTGTGATATCAATTTTATATATAAATAACTTACTTTCTAATTAGATATCAAACACTACATAACTTATATAAATAAGCTATCTATTTATAAGCTACGAAACGACTCTCATAATATAATTGTGTCTATGAGGTCATTCCGTTAACATGAGAAGATGGAATATCAGAGAATTAAAATTATTTTTTAATATTTTAAATCAAAATAGAATATAAATCTGATCTCAGTCTTAATTCTAATTATTTTATCCAATTTAATATTATTTTATGTCATTTTAGTGTCGATAAGACTATAACTAATCATACATTAGCTGCAAGAGCTAATGATTGAACAACTTAAGATATTAATAATTTACTTCATATTATTATCCTATAATTTAAACTAATGGTCCTATAACTCGACAAAACTATGCCATTATATACTTGTATTATCCCATACGGCTATAGATTTTGATTAGGGGAAAAAATAATTATTTATTATAGTTGGGGCGGAGCTCTAGAAAGTGATGGTGTTGGCTTAAGTAATAATAAAAATATTATTCTCTACATTTTAATTTATACATTTATTTGATTGATTTTCAATTAATTATGAATACATAGAAAGAAAGATTATTTGGGATTTATCGTCTTCGATATGCAAATAATAATGTCAGTAAAATATTTTAAACTTAATATCTTAAATATATCGTGATATTTGTGTGAATAATAAAAGTTTTTTTTATTAAAATAGAATAAAAAAATTAAATTAAATTAAATTGACGTCAAATTAGAAAAAGGCATGAAGTACTAAAAAATGGAATTTAGATTTATTATCGCTTACGAAATAAATAAAAGGAAAAAAACTTTTCAGGTTTCGTAGGTATAAAAATAATTTTTTTTTATGTAAAAATAAAGATTTTAGAGTTGCAATAAACTCCAAGATTGTTGAACTTCATGCAATTACGTAATTAAGGGGAAGAGAAAGGGCATATGAGTAAAAAAAAGCATCATAAAATAATTGAAATCAGTTTGCGTTGATCACGGGCAAAAGTGATGGTGAACACTTCTAGGTGTCATCAAAAATCAATGATCTTAATGACTAAATGCTAACTTTGGAGACCTAGTTGTGTAAAATCAGCATTATAGACTCAGAGGCAAACCACGTGTTCCGTTGAGGGTGTACGTGCTTCCGTTAACTTTAAAAAATTATATAATCTATATATACGCATTGAGATATGACATATACTTCCTCCGTTTCTATTTATATGTCGTTCTTACAAAAAAGAATTATACTTAATACTTCTTTCGTCCACTTTTAATTGTCATGATTTATTTTTTTTAGAGTCAAACGATAAGAATTTTGACTAACATTTTATGATGTGTTTTTTCATCATAATGAATAATGATATGCAAAAAATTATAATTTATAGTATTTTTCGTATAGTTTTTGAATATCTAATTTTTTTGTTTAAAATATCGAATTAATGTAATCTAATTTAACTTTAAAAATCATTCAAATTGACTTTCGAAAAACTCAACATGTCAATTACAAGTGGATGGATGGAGTACTTATCATTTCACAAAATCAATGCATAAATGACATTATTCCTTGAGAATTACTCCCTTTGTCCCTAATTACTTGTCCATTTTTTCTTTTTTAGTTGTTCCTAATTACTTGTCCATTTTGACAAATCAAGAAATTTTTTTATATACCTATTATACCCTCAATTAATTACTTTGAAAAAGGTAGAATTTCTTGAAAATCTTAAGTTTTTAATTCATCTACTTCATAATTAATAGGGGTAAAATGGTAAACTTACTATGTCAATAATTGTTTCTTAATAGGTGTGTCAATTCAAAAGTGGACAATTAATTAGGAACAGATGGAGTATTAGTCTTGAAAGTATGAATTTGACCAACATGGGAAAACTAAATGATTATTCATGTTCATTGATCAATTTAATTAATCAAAATAAATTAATTCATGTTCATTTATTGGAAAATTTGTCTTCAAGAGAACACTAAATAAGGGTACAATTGTAAACTTATTTAATTTCTTAAGGAACGTGAAATTTAAAATGGTGACATATAAATAGGAACGAGTGGAGTATTTTACCAGGCACAAAGACATTGAAACTATTTAGGTACGCTGATTTAAATGATGCACACCTTTGAGGTGTGAGGGGACTGAAATCTAGATTCGAATCCTATTTACTAAGTTCTATATTTTTTCTTGTGGATAATGTTTTATTTTGGTCCTTCATATATTTTACTTGATTGAGATTATCCTTAATGTATAACAAATATGTTTATTTTAATCCTTAATATATTTTACTCTATTGAAATAGTTTTTTATATATAACAAAAGGTATTCATTTTGATCATTTACCCTAAACCTAATAGACTTATAAAAGAGAATCTCCATAAGGAATGCTTCCACCCCAAATGAGGTCCTATACAACACAAATTTACAGTAATTAGGTTCCAAAGCAGATACCGAACCGAATAGGAAACAAAAAAAAAGGTATATGAAGAAAAAGGGAATACATCCTCAGAACCTAGGCAGAAGGGGCAAAACACAATGTAGTGCAGAATTATGCTTCATGTATGGGACTTGCTAGGGTGAATTGAAAACATTCAACCACCTATTATTGCATGTATTTTGTTCTTTCCCATGCCAAGTTAAAAGACTAGTTGGGCTCAACTACTCATGGAGAACATGAAAGGCCATCCATTGTACTTTTGCTATGCGTTATAGGGCTTTTGTGGGACTCGTTTTGAGGTGGTACGCTTATAAAATTTCTTTGAAATTTAAAAGTAAAATATTTTATATGAGATTTACGCCTAACGCTCAATGCTGGAAATTCGATCAATAAATTTTATGAAAATCATGTATTTAATTTTTTTTTATTAACATTATTGACTCTCAATTCTAACAGATGAATAATAAAAGATTTCTATCAAAGATAGAGATTGAAAGTAACTCATATAATAATCTATAGAATTTTATAATTACTAATTAAGAACATTGTGAAAAATGAATATCATTTGAACATTCTTTTGAAAATAACTAGACAATTAAACTTTATATCTTCATTTTCTATTGGCCATGATGTGTTAAATAAGTTATTTTGGCCGCATACCAAAAAAAGTGAAAGAAATAAAATAAAAATGTTAAAAATAAAGGATAATTTTTTAATAAAGTATATATTTTTTTAAAAATATTATTATTTGAAAAATAAACTTAATTGTTCTAAATTAATTTCAAAAGGAAATACAAGAAATTAGTGGAAGTTTAATATTAATAATTACTAGTATAGTGCCCGCGCGTTGCACGGATTTTAAAATTAAAAAAAAAACTAATAAAATCTAATATTCACTCTGTAATGTATGTTTTAAAAAATAATTATACAAATCAATTAACTTATTTATTTGTGCATATTACAGTATCATTTTTATTAATACACAATTTAATATTATGTTTATAGTTATAATTAGCTACATTTATTATTTTTTAATATATTTTGTTGAAATTTTAATAAAGATAATATTACTTTCTTTTTGTTTATTAAAGTAAACAAAAACTTTATGCGTTTTACATGTTTGGTCTACTATTTTTTATTATGTTTAATTGAAATAATATTATATTCTTGTTAGTAACTTTTTAAATCTAATTTTCACATGAAATGATTAAATATTTAATTGTAGGCATGATATTCAAAATTTTAAATTGTGTCTTTCTATTTTTTTAGAACTCATATATTGATTACATGATTTTTTTTAAAAAATCATCTAATTATAGAAATATTTTATTACTAAATAATTTTTAATTTCCAAATCAATTTCGAAAAACGCATTGAATCGAAAATGAATATAAAAAGGTTAATCCTATAAGATTTAGTTGTTATTGCAAGAAAAAGTCATTAAAAAGAGTTGCAAAATCAGCGAGGAAAAAAAGTTGTTGTATATGTATTTTTCACAATTTGCATTCAAATATAATTTGTAGTTACATTGATAGTTATATTTTTCAAATTTATTAATTTTATTGTCTAACAGATATTTTAACAATTGACATATTTTCATTAATAAAGTATAAAATAACATGATTTTTTTTAATATACTTTAAATAAAAATTATATAGTTAAAAAATATTCATAAGTTTTTGTTCTTTCATATTCTATGAATTTTCAATCAAGAAAATCATAAATTAAAATTGAAATACATAACTAAAGAAAAATAATAAATTTCATTATTCCATGACCAACAAAAACATTCATCGTGTTTCTCTTCACACAATCCATATTATTTGTCTCATCCCATGAACAACAAAAACATTCATCGTGTTTCTCTCTATACAATCCAACTATTTTACAATAAATCTCCTACACTAATGAAGAAGTAACATATCTTATTTTGATATTAAAAAAATAAAATGTCATAAATCATGCTTTAAAAGAATTAAAAACACAACTATAACATAAATAAAAAATTAAATAAGGCCAAATAGGATTTAAAAAATAAATAAATATGTATTGCTAATTTTAATAGTAACTATTGTAAAAAAAGAAGAAGAAGATAAATACGAAT